AAGTTTTATGTGTTTTTTTTCTCTGGCTTTAATTCTTTTAAAGATGTAATTCAGCGAAATAAAAGAAATGATCATAACTGTCTTCCTAGAACGGTTACTTTGCTGCGGAAGTATAATTAACAGGATGAAACTGCTACGTAAATTTATACAGCTGTCAGTGCAGTTGCAAACCTTGCAGAAGTCTATTTTAAAATCATTTTGAACTTCGTGCTAAACCTATTTTATAAGGTAAAATTGACGGAAAAGAATCAAAAACCACTGTTTTGTTATTTTTAAAAAAATTTTTAAAACTGTTTTCATCATTAGAAACTGGTTCCAAAATAACTAAAACATTGTTTTTTGCTACAATTTTTGCAAAAACAAGCTAGACAAAGTTAAGGATTGTTTATCAATTCGTTTGAGTACCTGCCACTACTGTGCCTGGAGTAGCATATAAAAGCTGAAATCAACTCTTGAGCGGAGTGTATTTTTGTGGCATTTTTTGCTTTAGCTCCCCACTTCGAACAGAGTTGTATGAATAGGTCTTTCGAGCTGTAGTTCCTCAATACGTTTTTCTCGAAGTCTACGATGTAAAAAAATCCAGCTTTTTCAAATAGTTCACTTTTACGAAATTACTTTAAAGAATGAAAACCGGGTCAAAAAAATTTGCTAGAAAGGTTTTTCCGATACAGATTTACCGTGTGACATCTTGTTATGCAATCACGCAAGTGCTACCAAAGGGGAAGGGTAGCCACAAAGACCAGAACTAGACCTCTATTACTGCTTATGGTACCACCAGTTTTTGTCATTGCGCCAAAGAATTTTCTGTTTTATTCGAAGAAGCGCGTCGGCAGTATAAAAGCCAGCAATTTATCCGTACCTTATTTGCTAGGTAAGGTAAAAAAGCGCAACAGATGCGAGGGAGAACGGAGGAAAGTAAATCATCTCGTCCTTTTTCATTTCACACATCCACTCTAATCTTTGGAGTACTCATAAGTTCCATAAAGCGCAGTTTTTCTTGAGAAATTATGAGGCCATTTGATCACTTGTACTTGAAGTTTTAGGATTCCTGCAAAGAAGCCATGAAACACTTCGTCGTTGCTCTCCTTGCTCTATTTCTTATTAGCGCTACGTTCGCAAATGAGGAAAAAGGTAGGACTTTACGTATATGATTAAATTTCAAAACTCGAAGTTTTTCGGAAAAGCTAGAAGAAATTGAAATAAAAAAGATTTGAGAGTGGTTCTTTAAGAAACAACAGCGAGTCGAACTGATTTTTCTAATCAACGAAACTAAAAAAAAATCAGTTTTATTTTTTGTAACGTTACGCTGCTTTGAGTCGGAAACATTAGACACACTAAATTACGACTGAGAAAATAATTTCCTATACTGCATATGTATCATGTTGTTATTGCTTTCAGACTCTCCACCAATAGAGGGCTCTAGCAAAGAACAGCGTGAGGAACGTGCTGCGTGAGTTTTTCTCATTTCTTCTTATTTTTGGGAACGGTTAAACAAAGCAAAAATCAGCCATGTTATTTTGATTTGTGTGGCAAAACCGGTTCATCTTGAAGAACAAAGTTGAACCAGATACCGAAGGGTAAAACTGAAAGATCAAAGATTGTTGAAACAATTTCGATAAACGAAATAAATAATTTTTCATAAATTTGAATTAATACAATGAAATTATTATTGTCATTGTTATTGTTATTACTTACATTATTATTAATATTGTTATTAGAATTGTTATTGATATTATTGCTGCCATTCACAGTATTGGTATTACTATTATTATGATATTTTTGATATGATAGTGTTGTGTATTTTAGCGCAGTCGGCTACGATCCAGCGGTGATGGCCCCAGAAATGAGCGCCTCCTC